GGCATTAACAGGTGGCTGTCTCGAGGAAAGCTCTAACAGGTGGCTGTCTCAAAGAAAGCATTAACAGGTGGCTGTCTCGGAGAAAGCTCCAACACGTGTGATGAAACTCCGTGGAGCGATAACACATTTTTTGTGGACTTTAACGTTGGCAACGGCTTGTAATGATAAAGACCGGGTGTGCAGCCTGGCTTATTCGGCCGACATTCTCAGAAAAAGCTCACGAAATAAATCTTTTATTGAAAGGAAAAGTCGGAACATTTTTTTGTTATCAATACAAGCGCCGAAGTCTGATCTTGGGAGAGTAGACTTCTGGATCAGTTGGACTGCGCGGAGAAGGAAGATTTTGATCGCTTCTCTTACTTTCTTCTTACACAAAAGGCTTATTGAAATAAAAATACCATGAAGATTCAATCAATGTTACAGACATTATTGTTCAAGCGCGTCTCGGAAGTTTGAAAGACTGATTTGAACATTTTTTTAGACAGCTCAAGAGAAGGTGCTTGGCATGGGCGCCCGCAGAAAACTTTATAGGGTTGGGGGGGGGGCAAAAAAACGATTAACTTTCTAAGGGGGGGGAATTTTAGTAATGTTTTAATGTAGTTTTAATTTACTGTAGCGTATTTGTATGGTGAACGAACGGACAGGACACCAGCTTAGTTACTTTCTCTTTATTTTCTCTTTACTTTAATAAATGTTTTGTCTATTTTTGTCTAAAACAAATTTTATGCCCCCCCTTGCCCCCCCCCTGTGAGCGCCCATGGTGCTTGGTGACTTCAAATATTGACTGAATGTGTTCAGCGTCAACCCCACCAAAAATGCCACCCAACTTAAACTCAGCGGAATGCGAGCTGCTAATAACTTTGAAGCGTCACATCCATCTTACAAATCTAATGTCCAAACCAAAGTCTGCCGCAAGGTGTCGCTGCACGTACAAGATGAATTCACAATCTTGTCTTTTGGTAGCAAAATTGGTATAGCCGACTTTCTCAGATACTCATCTCGGTGGCGCGCGACTCCTCTCCGCCTACTCAACAGACAAAAACAAAACACGGAAGGAGCTTACATTCAGAACCATTAGTTCACCTGAAACTAGCATCTCCTCAACCTGAAATTAGAAAACAATCCAAAACCATAACGACCACACATGTCTCATTAAACGTTTTAACTTGATCTTAAGTCATGTTGTTTTATCTATCCTCCCCCCCCCCCGGCCCGACCCCCTCCTGTAGCACTACTTCTAAACTCCAATGACTTGTAGGACATAGGGTAGACCCGAGGGGCTCTCCTACACAAATCTATTTTTGAAAAGGCCTGCGCAGGTCCAAGCTTGGGAACCACCGTAGAACTGTCGTGGGATTAAACTGTGTATTAGAGTGGCAATAATTTCAAATGGGGGCACAACTTCACATTCTCTGTTCCCAAAGCTGTTAAACAAGTTATCTTCTCCTGGCGTTAATTCCGCCACGTATAGATCAATTATAGCAGTTAAAATTAAATATTTTTTTAAAATATTAAATTTACTAAGCAATCGAATATCCAATTTTTTGTAAAATCCGTACTAAATATTTTGATATTTCATATGAATTATTCATTAAGGACCGCATTTTGGCAATGCGAAAGAAATTCGGATAATCGAGTTTCTTTTGTCAATCAATTTTTAAGTTGAACATGATGATGATTGAGTACTTTTCTAGCGCTAGTCTCCGTGCTATTATAGCATGCCCACAGGCGCAATGGCTTGAAAAAGGAGCGCACTCCTTATGATATTATATTTAGCTGCTCATTTTAAATACGATGACACATCAAATGATAGGAAATAATTCTGTACACAGCTGTCTCTGTAAATGTACAAGAATACAGAGTAATTTAAACTCTCACAACTTTAAACACCCGAAGTCCCAGTCGTACTATGTGTGTGTGTTTGTGTGTGTGTGTGTGTGTGCGTGCGTGCGTGTGTGTGTGTTTCTCTGTGTGTGTGTGTGTGTGTGCTGTCATCACATCCTGTCATGCTGACAAATTGAAGCTCCTCCTCTCTCACGCGGGAGCGTTGGGCATGCGGTATCGAAACCCTTGGGCGAAGGTCACAGCGTTGCCCACCAGGATGGGCAGCAAGCTGACCGCGGTCAGGTAAAATGAATAGAAAAGATCTGTTTTCGCCAGGTCCATTTGGTATTTGGCCCCAAAGACAGCCAGGCAGATGACTGTAGACACGACTGTGAGATTTATAAGAGATGACAAAGATGATGTAATCACTACTGAAATACATTTTAAATCGCACGTATGCTTTTAAAGATGAAAAAACACTTATATCTCTCAAACCTTGTTTCTTGATCTCTCCCCCCCTCTCTCTCACTGAGTCCCTCTTTCAGTAAATTAAAACAACATTAAAGCATTACTAAAAATTTTTTGCCCCCCCCCCCTAGTAAGTTAATCGATTTTTTTGCCCCCCCCCCAGAAAGTTTTCTGCGGGCGCCCATGTCCCTCTCTAACACTTTCTTTCTCGCTGCCCAGACCTCTTTCTTCGTTACCGTCTTTCTTTCTATTTTTCTTTAACTCAAAATCTCCATGCATGTCTGTCACACACAATCTCTCAATCTCTCTATCCATGTCTGTCACACACAATCTCTCTATCCATGTCTGTCACACACAATCTCTCTATCCATGTCTGTCACACACAATCTCTCAATTTCTCTATCTATGTCTGTCAAACACAATCTCTCTACCCATATCTCTCACACACAATCTCTCAATCTCTCTATCCATGTATGTCAGACACAATCTCTCAATCTCTCTATCCATGTATGTCAGACACAATCTCTCAATCTCTCTATCCATGTCTGCCACACACATTCTCTATACTTATACTTTATATAACTTTCAATGTAACTTCCATGTTATAATGAATATCTTTTCTATGCTGTTACCATGGGCACCCGCAGAACTTTTTCTGGGAGGGGGGGGGGTTAAAAATCGATTAACTTTCTAAGGGGGGGGGGGGAGAATTTTTTTTAGTAATGTTTTAATGTAGTTTTATTTTATTGTAGCGTATTTGTAGGGTGAACGAACGGACAGGGCATCAGCTTGGTTACTTTCTCTTTATTTTTTTTTTTTTTTATTTTTTTATTGTTTTAGTTGTGTGTGGTGAATTTTTTTTAGTAATGTTTTAATGTAGTTTTAATTTACTGTAGCGTATTTGTATGGTGAACGAACGGACAGGGCATCAGCTTAGTTACTTTCTCTTTATTTTCTCTTTACTTTAATAAATTGTGTGTCTATTTTTGTCTAAAATTTTTTTATCCAATCAATCCAAGGGGGCCCATGGCTGTTACTTCTAAGTTATAAAACGAGGTCGCAATAATAGCCCTCACTGTAACTTCAGTATCGAAATATAACGGTTCTGTGAAAACTTCGTATCTTACACCAAGATTGCACTATCACAGGCCTCGATTTATAACTTCACTGTTACGTCAAATGATTTATAAATGATTGCTTTCGGTGTTACTTCTTTACTAGAATAACTAGCCTTTATAGCAGGCGTGGCCCGGGATTGCATTAGGACCCAATCCTGGTGTGACCCCGATCCCATTGGAACCCTAATCCCATTGTGACACCGATCCCGGCGCAGTCCCGTTTCCCCGTGTGATCCCGATCCCGGTGGATATATTCAAAGTTGGGATCCTTATCCCGGTGGGATCCTGACCGCTTTGGTTTCTATACCGAATAAAAAAAAATTACTCAGTGGTACTGAGGGAACAGAAAACTACGGGGCCATATAGAGAGGAATAGAACTAACAAACATTTCAATGCTGCCTTAGATCCCACTATCTTGGAACAATTTATAACTTTCTGGAACATTCTAAGATTAAATTTAATATTATCCTCGAAACATGTGTAAAAATACTTTTCTAATTATTTTCGAATACGATAAAAATCCTTAACAAATGACATAATTATAATCCTTTTTCTTTTAAGTTAATCAATGGGCCCCGGGGGCCCATTCCATAACTGTGCCGATTTAGTTATGCCTGAGATAGGGGGCCCTATAAATAATCAGACGGATAAATAATAGAGGCAAAATTTAAAATTCTTCCCATTAAAATCTACTTAAAAATGCCATAGATAGAGCTTTTTTAAAATTATCGAACTTTCTGGAAAATTCTAGATTGCATATTCTTAGTTTTAAATGCACCGATATTTCAATACGGACAATGAAGGTTATTGCAACCACGCTCGGCATATGCCCATTAATTCACATAGAAACTATACCGTTGTCTAACCCTATAGATATTCATATAGCTTATAGAAGGAAAAATGAAATGGGGCCCCCGGGCTCAGAGAAGTTGATATTATGAGCTCAGTATCCTTCGGTATTTGAATATGGATGATCATGTGTATGTGTACAAAGTTTGGTCAATATCCATCAACTCATGTATGAGTATTTGTTGTAAATTTTATTTATATATCTAATCATATAAGGGGGAAAAAAAAACGAATTTCAAGGCTCCCGGCCCCAAACAGAATGTTATAAAAGTTCATAACCCCTTAAGACAGTGGTTCTCAACCTTTCTAGTGCCGCGACCCTTTAATACAGTTTCTCGTGTCGTGGCGACCCCCCAGCCACACAATTATTTTCGTTGCTACTTCATAGCTGTAAGAATAAGTGTTTTCAGATGGTCTTAGGCGACCCCTGGAAAAGGGGCCCGCGGACCCCCAAAGGGGTCGCGACCCACAGGTTGAGAACCGCTGCCTTAAGAGTTCCTTCCGGATCATGATGGATATATGTGCCAAGTTTGGTTAAGATCCATCAATCCATGTAAAAGCCTTTGTGGAACAAACCCACAAACATTCACTTTTATAGATATAAATGATATGATATCACCGAAGGATAGCTTTCAGTGTAACTTCAGAAATGACATAATGAATTTATAATATTAAATTTCACTGTCAAGCCAGACTTAGCTTACCTCCAGTCATTCCCATCGCAAAAGCGGCGAAAGTGAGTACCTTATTCGGGAACCGGTCAATCATGGGGAGCACGAGGAAGATGGCGCCCAAGATGAAGGCGAATCCATTAAATAAAATGCCCAGTATGGAGAACGCCCGGCAGACCTTAAGGCTAACTGAAAAATGAAAGTTTAAAGGGGAGAGTGTGGGTAAAAAGGATAAGATATTTTAAGAGCATCTGTTTTAAATTCTAGAACAGTGGTTCTTAACCTGGGTTCGATCGAACCCCATGGGTTCGGTGAGTGAGTCTCAGGGGTTCTGGGGAGGTCCAAAAAAAATCAGAAAAAAAAATCACATTTTATTTTTCCTATTAAGAAGGGTTCGGTGAATGCGCATATGAAACTGGTGGGGTTCGCTACCTCCAAAAAGGTTAAGAACCACTGTTCTAGAATATGAATTATCATCTGAAAACGTTACAATAATTATTGTACATGTGTATTTAAATAACTCAAGAATTTTGTTTTCTTTAGAAATTTAATTAGTCCATGGTAATTGAGCGGTAACGGTTCTTAAGGAAGAAGGTGGTGGATGGGGCCTGGTGGGTGGGACTTGGTGGTGGGGCTTGGTGGGTGGGTTTAGGTGGGTGGGGCTTGGTGGGTGGGGCTTGGTGGGTGGGGCTTGGTGGTGGGGGTTGGGGGGGGGGGGTTGGGGGGTGGGGCTTGGTGGGAGGGGCTGGGTGNGGTGGGTTTAGGTGGGTGGGGCTTGGTGGGTGGGGCCTGGTGGGTGGGACTTGGTGGTGGGGCTTGGTGGGTGGGTTTAGGTGGATGGGGCTTGGTGGGTGGGGCTTGGTGGGCGGGGTTTGGTGGGCAGGGCTGGGTTGGTGAGGCTTGGTGGGTGGGGCTTGGTGGAAGGCCAGGGAAAGTTTAAGCGATGCTGGGACTTTTTTTGAACATTATGAATCACTAAAGTCGAGTATCATCTGAATGTTTAGACGTCACAGCCCTCAAGTTAAGGTCAGTATTTTGTCTTTGCCACCCACTCGTGCCAACGTGATGTGTGAGTTACAATCAATCTGCTGGAAAACTGTACCATGTCACAGGATAGATAATGTAACATGTAGCAGGATAGATAATGTAACATGTAACATGATAGATAATGTAACATGTAAGATAATAGATATTATGTAACATGTAACAGGGTAGATAATGTAACATGTAACAGGATAGAGATAAATAAAGATATGACATACATTCGATTATTAATTTTAATAAATTTTACTGTTTACAATAAATTATAGTCATAATTTATGCCAATAAATTAATTGTTTACTCGTTATAACGGCATCCGGCAGGTCCTCACAGTCGATGCCATTGTTGCAAAATTTCCACAGCCCAATGGTCCACGACAAAGAGTTCTTCAGCCAAAGGAGTGGCGTACGATCCACTAACATCCACCCAGGGCTGGCCACGCCACCAATGTTCATCATGATGCCGATGCCAAGAGCAGCCAAGCCCACCTTGTAGCTGGTGGTGATGCTGTCCCGAAGCACCCTTTTTTTTTTCAAATAAAGTCACAGAAGAGTGTCAAGAGTGGGTATAGTTTTGTCATCTCGGGGTCAATCAAATGAAGGGCGCCTGGGGCAAAGAAGGGCGCCTAGGGCAAAGAAGGGCACCTGGGGCAAAGTAGGGCACCTGGGGCAAAGAAGGGCACCTGGGGCAAAGTAGGACGTCTGGGGCAAAGAAGGGCGCCTGGCGCAAAGTAAGGCGCCAGGGCAAAGAAGGGCGCCTGGGCAAAGAAGGGCACTGGGGCAAAGTAGGGCGCCTGGGCAAAGAAGGGCACCTGGGGCAAAGTAGGACGCCTGGGGCAAAGAAGGGCGCCTGGCGCAAAGTAAGGCGTCTGGGCAAAGAAGGGCACTTGGGGCAAAGAAGGGCGCCTGGGCAAAGTAGGACGCCTGGGGCAAAGAAGGGCGCCTGGGGCAAAGTAGGGCACCTGGGGCAAAGAAGGGCGCCTGGGCAAAGTAGGACGCCTGGGGCAAAGAAGGGCGCCTGGGCAAAGAAGGGCACCTGGGGCAAAGTAGGGCGCCTGGGCAAAGTAGGACGCCTGGGGCAAAGTAGGGCGCTTGGGCAAAGTAGGACGCCAAGGGCAAAGAAGGGCGACTGGGGCAAAGAATGGCGCCTGGGGCAAAGAAGGGCGCCTGGGGAAAAGAAGGGCGCCAAGGCAAAGAAGGGCGCCTGGGGTAAAGTCGGGTGTCTGGGCAAATTAGGGCGTTCACGCAAAAATCTGAGGAGCAATTGCAGACTCTAAGACCCAAACGACTTCTCCTAATTGACGGACCTGGCGGAAATTGTAAAACATTCCTTTACAACACAATCATGCACTTTGCGCCTTCCTTTACAACACAATCATGCAACCTCAAGCTTTTATACTATAAATTAAACACTACGTAGATAAATTTTTGATAATATATCCTCACACCGTAAGACTGAGCTCAGATAATGAGCTTTACGTCCATAACACTATCTTTTATGTGTTCACACAACATCCACCAAGCCTTAGCGAAGAAATTTCTCATCATTTTCAAGATCTATAAGCATTTGAAAAAGTGCTATAGCTATATCAACAACCTATTTGTACTCGCCATTAGTGATCTCCCTTCGGGGAGGAACATTTAATTCATGAACATTTTATTTATTTGATAAGTGTTAAGGGGGTGTAAAACATATGGGTTGTAGTTATTTTTTGGATCGAAATGGCGCAGTCCTATTCCTATGCTGCAAAGATGGCTCTTAAAATTGCTGATTTCTTTTGCAACTCCCTCTGAGTGTGAGACGGAATTTTTTTTTCTCCAAACGGATTACAGGTGAAAATATCAAACAAGAGTTGCACTGGCCAAAACAAAGCCATACAACCTTGAAGAACTTGTTGCACCAATCCCATGATTCGATGACTAACTTTTACCATTCTCTGAATAACTGTTTGTCTAAAATGCCCTGGCAACAGAAGCATGTATGTTCATTGTAGTTTGTTCTAAAGCATCCGCAAGCATTCAAACAAAACAAAAAAATTACAAAGCCCGTCACGCAAGAAATCTTTTTTTTACAACCACTGTACTAAGTGATTTTCGTCTTCTTTTTGCCCCAGTGTCATATAAATTTGTTAGTGACAGATCTAACTCCCCTTGGTTCACTCCCACATTTGGGAAGGCCAAGCTTGTTAGGCGTGTAGCTGAGAAGCGTTGGAGAAGGAGTGGCCATGAAGTGGACAAACTATCGTTTCTGAAAGCACGCAACATGTATGCGCAAGAAATCAGGCACGCAAAGTCTGAGCATGTTCAATCTCTCCTTACGGCAGCAGGTACTGATTCTCGCAAGATGTTCTCTGTGGTGGAAATCAGCACCCCTTGTTTTGCCTGACATGAGAAGCGGGCAAGCTGCAGTTAAACTGAGTGATTTTTTCACTGACATAATTGAAACAGTCAGAAGGAGCTTTGGGGAACGTTGTGATTTGTCTGCGGGGGAGAAATTCTTTGAAGGTAAACTTCTAGTGGAATTTTCCCCAGTTTTCCATGAACAATTAAGACATATAGTCATGGCATCTAGACCTACATCTTCTATTGTTGACCCCATCCCAACCAGGATTGTTTTGGTCTGTCTGGAATTCTTGCTTCCTTTACTGGTCAGCATCGTGAATATTAGCTTTCAGTCTGCTACAGTCCCACGTCTCTTCAAGAAAACGGTAAAGCCTCTGCTAAAACAAAAGTGGTCTGGACCCAAATGACTGCAATAATCTTCGCCCGGTCTCCAACCTGCTCTTTTTAATCTAAAATTCTTGAGAGAATTGTGTGACAGCAGCTTGTGCAGGATCTAAGCACTTAGGACTTATTTGACAAGTATCAATCTGCATATCCACCGGGGCACAGCTGTGAGACAGCACTGCTACGTGTTATGAATGGTGTTCTTTGTAGTGCAAACCGTGGCGATCTGACAATGGTTCTGTTGGATCTCAGTGCTGCTTTTAATGTGATCGACAATGAGCTTCTTCTGTCAAGACTTCTGAATTTGGCAGGCATCACTGGATGTGCATTTCGCTGGTTTTCTTATTATCTGACTGACAGGAATCAGCGTATTGTAGTGAAGCAGGCATCTTCCATGGACACTTCCGTTACCTGCGGTGTGCCACAGGGCTCAGTTTTAGGACCTATTCTGTTATCCATGTACACTAGCAAGCTCGGCAAAATGATTGAAAGTCATGGTATTTCCCACAAAATATTTGCAGATGACACAGAACTATACAAGTGTTTCCGCCCTGATCCCTTGGAGTGTGCTACTGCTGTCCAGGCTGTCGAGGACTGCTGTCTTGCTGTGAAAGAATGGATGTCATCAAACAGACTAAAATTAAATGATGATAAGACTGAGGCAATTATTTATGGTTCAGACGCCAATCTTCGGAAAGTTGCCATTGCATCAATAAAAGTTGGTGAATCAGAGATCCCGTTGTCCTCGACTGTCAGAGACATGGCTTTTATATTGACATAAAACTGAGAATGATTCCCCATATCAGTTCTGTTGTCAAGGCATGCTCCTGTCATCTGCGTGCCCTGGGTCAGCTGCGTCCTCTAATCAATTGGAGAACAGCCAATGCTGTAGCGGTAACTCCCATCCAGTCAAGATTGGATTACTGTGACAGTTGTTTGTAGTATTTACTTCAGAACCAAATTCAGAGACTCCAAAAGGTACAAAATACTGCAGCACGCATTGTATCGCGGATGAAGAAATCTGACCACATCACCCCAGTTCTACGAGATCTCCCTTTTGTTCCTGTGAGTGAGCGCATTAACTACAAAATTCTGTCCCTGGCGTACAGCTGCATAGATGGCTCATCACCGAAATATCTCAAAGAACTGATTTATAAACAGTTATACTTGAAGAGCCTTCGATCTTCAACACAGTACTTACCGAGAGTTCCTAGTGTGGATGAACACAGAAAAAAGTCTTACGGAGTGCGCTCTTTTGAAGCGATAGCGCCAAAATTATGGAACAGTTTGCCTCAATCTTTGAGGGGAATAGTAAATGATAAAAAAAATCATTTAAGAAACACTTAAAACGTTTTTGTTTAAATAGATTTCGGAAAACCATAGCGCAGTGAGCATGCTAAAGGGGCATGGATACCAGCGTGATATAAATATCAAAATCAATCAATCAATCAATTTTAGGTAGAAAAATTGGAATCGTCTTGTTGCACACCAGTGTTGCAGAGCTCCGCCACGATTAGTTATCTGGCTACTGCGGGTGCAATACATATGACTCCTAGTCCAACAAGTTGTAGCGTGTCTACGGTTTGAGAAATTATTTAATTAAAAAAGTAATTTATGAAGGCATTAACACCCGATTTCAAATGGTCAAATGTCCAATATGAAATGACCAAAATAGTGTCACGATATCAGAAAAGTAATTAAAAATAATTTGTTGAAGCAAATTGTAGAAGGAAAACTTGTTTGGTTTTTTATTTTTTAATTTTTTAGAACGCCAATTTCAAAAACATTTGTTAGAATGATAAGTTAAGAATTATATTTTTTTAAAGCTAATTTTAGAACGCCAATTTCAAAAAACATTTGTTAGAATGATAAGTTAAGAATTATATTTTTTAAAAGCTAATTTTAGAGCGCCAATTTCAAAAAACATTTGTTAGAATGATGAGTTAAGAATTATATTTTTTAAAAGCTAATTTTAGAGCGACAATTTCAAAACCATATTTTAGAGCGACAAATTCCAATCCCTCTATTGTTTCATGATTCATTACTTGAAACTACTAAAAAAAAAATTTAAAACATAAAGAGGTGGAAAATAATCATAAATTGTTCAATTACTAATTTATATTTACCTGCCTTCCATTGAAATAAATATGAAATATAAATATGAAGTGCTTCAAATGTGCGAATAATGTCTCAATCGCCTTAACTACCGCAGCATTAACGAGTTCACCGTTGTCGGGAGACCGGATGTGGTTTATTTTGCGCAAAACTATTCAAGCTTTGAGGTGTGTCAGTAAAGATGCAGTCACGTGACACGCCTACGGGGGATTTGGGGGTTGCTGGTCGAACTGAAACTGAAAGCGTGGTTTCGGGCTAAACGATTCAAGCCCCTGCACTCCAGCATTGGTAGAAACACAAACGTGGACAGAGAATTCGTGACCTGAAACTGAAAGGAAGTAAGGCATAACCTGAACTCAATGGAGACGGTGAGAATGCGTCTTTGCTTCTCTGAACATTAAATCAGCCTCGATGAGTGTAGCAAGTATTTCATTAATCTTTGGCCCAAACTGTGTGTGTGAGTGAGCGTGTTTGTGTGTGTGTGGGGGGGGGGGAGAGTTAGCGTGATATGAATGATTGAATTGCAAAGATCGACTATTGATCCAAATGCAGGGGTGGACTGAGCCATCGGGACACCGGGAAGATTCCCGACGGGCCGCTAGGACCGGTGATATAATACAAATAAAAGTCATGAAGATAGGGCCGCTTTTTGTTGTTTTTTTCCCGGGCCGCTTGAACTCCCC